CGTTTTTTTTTTAATGTGTGCAAAGTGAACACATGCTGCATGAGAATATAATGTACAAAGGTAGTCTGCAATTGGTGCACGACCAGCCGTCTAGCCTACCGAAAGAACCGGTCTCATGCACCCTGACGTGATATATTCCTCCATCGTTAATGCCAGTCTCACGACTCATTCACGGGCATTCAATGTACGAATTTCTGGAGACGACACGAATTTTTCTACGCGATCCATTTCATACTCGCTCATATCACTATCAGTACATCCACTATCGTCGGACAGTATTTCTTCGTCGGACGACTCTTGGTTCATTATATTCTCAAAGTCTATTTCCACTTCATCAAACACTTCGTCTCTAATATTCGCGAACTGTTCCTCATCCACATTTCTAATATATTCTGCTACGTCGATTCTTAAAAATGCGATCAAATGAGCATACATTGATATTTTTTATTAATTTTTTTTTTGTTGTGAAGCTAAAAGTATCCGCGTCAAGAATGAAAAACGATTTCGTTCATGTGGCTCCCTCTACTGGCCTTACAGTATGCCATTCGGTCACCCCAATTATTAATGACATTTTGGACTACCTCGGCGCCAATTTCACTCAAAACAGTCGTAATATAATGTCATCCACTAACATCCCTTTCTCACGAACTTTCCTCACCAATTTGCGTATAGCTCCTTCGGTGGGTGCTCTATCACGACCCATATTTCTTTTCAAAATTCGTACAGTTTCGGCGACACAGCACTGACTTTGAAAATAAGTTTTTAAAATTTCAAAACGCTCTTCAAGAGAAAACATGTTGTTTCGTGCCGCGGACGGTATGACTAATAAACTGTCAAAATTTCGGGTCTGTAGCTCGTTCGGTGTTGCCATACGACGAAATTCAAAAACGTACCAATAGATGGCCCACCCTGTATATTCTGCTACGTCGACTCTGTCCTCAATGTTACCGATATTCTCGAACTCTACATCCTCCATTATGTCCTCAAATTCTATTTGCAATGCTTCAAATAACTTGTCTGCATTTACATCATCCATGTCCTCAACATCTGCATGATATCAGCCATACTTTTCACATTACACTTATTGCGATTCGGTAATTTTTCTCAACTGAGATGCCGTGCGCTTATGACCCATTATATATTCTACTTGCGACTTCTTTGTCCCTTTGTCTACCCTCCCTATTGAGTTGCAGCATCGGGGATGTGTGAACGGTCTCGTCTTACAAAAATATCGTTATCAGTTTCTCTCTTAACGCATCGCGATGTGTTACCTGACGATGTGTGATCTCACGGTTCTTCCTAGATAAATATCATTATCAACGTTTCTGACCTTGAAAGAAAGAACTGTGAGAATTCAGTATGATTTCATTATCATCATCTATCCCTCATTGAAGGCGCTTTATGTAGCCGATACATTGATGATGTGTCACCGATCTTCTAGACAAACCACGTTATAGTGGACGCATTTTTGGGGTGAGTGTTGGGGTGGTGGCGGTGATCTCGCAACGCATTTTTTTTTGTTTTTTGGGATAGACGCGGGATCCGCGGCGACAGTTCGAAACGCACTTAGGGTGGACGCGGGGTCCGCGGCGGTGGTGGCACTGGTACCTGCGGCGGGGTGGCGGTGGTGGTGGCGGTCCCAATAACACGTGACACCACAACATAGCGATACGTATCATCATATCAGTAAACACTGATAGCGCCGGGACTTCCCGCGCATCCCCCTCCCTTCCCCACGCCTACCAGTACTCCTCGCGCCACCGAGTACCCCCCGTGCCCCGCGCTCCCCTCAGAGGACCTGAGTTAGAACCCGCCTATTATTCCTACTCATCACCTTTCCGGCCGACTTCACGGACTTCTTCGGAGCTGGTTCACTCGGTGAAGTTCATTGTTTTGACTGTTCCTTCGTCTCGGGTGTGAATGGATCCATGTTTCGTCCAGTAATGAATCGACGCAGAAATTCATCTGGATTACGTTGAAACATCTCCAAACATTGTTTTGAAATCATCACACTGTCGCGTTTATGATCCACAGTGAGCAAACACGGTACCCATTTTGCCGATAGCTTTTTCACATCCAATTGTTCGTGCAAAATTGAAATCACTGTGCTATGTAATATGCCTGTGGCTTCAACAAGTTCGCGCATTTTCACTCGTCGATCAGTAAAAACAATATCGTGGACTTTATCGATGATTTCTGGCATAGTCTCAATTGGACGTTCCGAACGAGGTGCATCACATGTGAATGTACGACCACGTTTAAATTCATTTACCCAATTGTATACAATCGCTGGTGCAGATGTGCTATGAACATTATCCAACTCGACTTTGATTTCTTTGACGTTAAACGTTTCACTTCTAGATGTTTGATCACTGCACGAAACTCCATTTCCATTTTGCAAAAAACACAAAGATTGTTCGTCTACAGAAATGAAACTACGCGATGAATTCCGCTCAAAATTCGATAGTAATCAGCTGAAAGATGCTACTTGTCAAAAAATAATGTGACATGACACTGCGAGCCCTCTGACAGATTTTCTAAGAACTTATTAACTTGTTCTCGTAGTTATCACTGCAAGTATCAGTTTTATGAAATATAATATGCTTCTCGAATAAAATCCGAGTGTCCAATCCAATTAATAGTTTTAATTCTTCTTCAAGGATATTTTTATTGAAGGTCTTCTTATTCCAACTCGTTATATTTCTTTAATTCTTTGTCAAAAATTATTATTCCTTGAAAAAACTAATGTATTAAATGAAAAATTAAAACCCAGATGACAGTTTTAACTTATCAAGTTAAATTCTATCAAGTTAAAAAGTAAAATTCAAGTAGTACTATCTTTGTTATTTACTTAATTTTAGTGATATGTATCATTCGTATAAAAGAATTGATATCAACAATTGGCGCCAAATTAAATCCCATCAAATTATACTAAAATAAAGATTGCAATCCGTAATTGCGTTACTTATCCACAGTCAAGTATATTACCACAAAAAATTAAAAAAGTAAACACTTGGCGCTGTTAGATCGAATAAAAATAACTATAAAAACAATTCAAAAATTATAATAATAATTAAAAAAATAAATAATAAAAGATAATTACAATTTTAATGTAATAATAAATTTAATCTGAATGTTTTTTTTACGCCGAATAAAAATAAAATTTACTATTTATTTCTTTTTTCTTTTTTATAACACAAGTCTTACAAATCCAAGTTTATTTATCTTATAATCTTACACTTAAACCTGATAGCTTGCACGACTTTTTTAGCTAACTTATACGACTGTTTAACCCAATTGATCGTCGAATATATACCTACGCTAGATACTTTTACTCTCAAGGAAATATTTTTCATTTTTCTTATTATATATTTATGTTTTTAGCACTATATTATACCGTTTATATTTATTTTTTCAGCACTATCTTATACCATGATAGCTTTGCTCTAGCTTTGCCAAGTGTTTATTTCTTTAACTTTTTGTGATAACATTTGAATGGATAAGGTAACGCAGTTACGGATTGTATTCTTTACTTTGGTACATATTATTAAATTTAATATTATTTATTTTATTTGATATAAAATTTAATCTGACGCCAATTGTTGTTATCAAATATTTTTTACGAATAATACATATCATTAAAGTTAAGTAAATAACAAAGATAATACCACTTGGGTTTTTTTAACACTTTTTAATTTGATAGAATTTAACTTGATTAATTAAAACTGTCAGGTGAGTTTTAATTTTTCATTTGATAAATTAATTTTTTTCGAGGACTAATAATTTTTGACAGAAACTTAAAGCTACTTGAATTAGAATAAGAAGACCTTCAATAAAAATCCTAGAAGAAGAATTAAAACTGTTAATTGGGTTGAAGACTTAGGTTATATTTAGATTTTATTCCAGAAGCATGTATATTCTTAGCACCTTTTTCTACCTTTTTTAAAAAGGTAAGTTTGTATTGATATCACGCATTTTGTAGTGACGTACATGTCTTTCTATAAAGTTTATCTTATAATTGACCTCAAGAAATAGATTTTCATGTGTTTGTACAAAATTTGGAGGGCCGAAATTGGCTGTTATTGATTCTTTTTCTTTGTGATATAATTTTTATATAATAAGTTTTAGAGAAGAATTAAAGATATAATTACTTGAGTCGATAAAAATGTCAAGACGACGATCATTTGCTTTTCCGAAGAATAATAATTAAGAAATACCAGCATATAATTTACTGTATGTATATATATATATATTTTCCATCCGATTTTAAATATTACTTGTTATATTTGTTATTTTGTATAAAACAAAATTAAATTATAAACAAATGGAGATCAAGGACGATAAGTCGCATTTTTATTATCATTTTTTAATTTAGTTAATAAAAACAGTGTATAATTTCATTTTAGTTAGATCTTTTTTTGTTAAATATTAATTACAAACAAATAGAGATCGATGACGAATAGATCGCTTTGTCATTATTATCTTCTGGCCTAGTTAACAAATATAGTGTATAATTTCGTTTCCGTTCGATATCCTTTGGTTATGTATTAAGTTAAAAACGTATAAATAAAGCGTTTTTTATTATCATTTCCTAGCTGAGTTATTCACAAATATTAAACCAGCGTATAATTTCGTTTATTATTTATCATGCATGCCCAGCACTTCTTTCTTAATACACTAATAACGCACTTTCGTGCCAAAACGTTTAACAGTACATTTTGGCTGGATGACTAGCGCAGGCCGAAACATGTTACATCTTAGCTGAAGGACGATGATGTACATGAATATGATAATAATAACGACGACGAATCTTAAAAGTTTCACATCGGAATTTTGCGTCGCAATATCTCGGCGCGTAGAGCACGTAGAAAAAAAATAAAAATTTTATTACACAATTTGAGCGGAAGCTCGATCGAGCGTATGTAGAACTTCATCGGTTCAGTCGTTATTGAGATATCCAATAATCTCGATCCTTCGTAACTCGCGATCTCGCGTAAACCAAGACGATAGTATCGCTGTGTTTGGCTTAGTGTCAAGACATTACCGTGTTTCTTGATCTAAAAAATATTACACATTTTTGCAGAATTTAATTTACAGATTAGAGTAATCTATATCACACACAGAATGTATTTTAAAACATAAATCCACATCATTTAAAACAGTCAACATATTAATGGCATGATTCTTTATGATAACTATATAAGATAATCCGGTAATCCTATATAAGATAAAAAAAAAAAGAGCTGGCATATACGTATTCCTCATAAAAAACTGAGTCGAAAATGTTAATAGCAAAATGTTGAGTGTCAATAGTGTTTGAATGATGAGCCTTTGAAACCGTTGAATCACCGTCGCGTTTAAAGTTTGCGCCATCAAGCGCGGCGCAATCAAGTGACCGGCCACGCGAATACTTTGATGGATATCGCGATGCTGAATAAGTATTGATACTGAAAAGGTTCCATGAAATCTCTAACAACTACTGCTGTATTCTTAAATTGAGTTCAATTGAGGAGTAATTTCAATTGCAAATTCGATAAAATATCATTAAAAAGTGTATGCTTTTGAAATACACATTTTAAGTAATAAACATATATTAATAAATTCAATCAGTATTAATTAAATTACCCAAACAAACAATATTAAAAACATCAGTCAATAAATATTTCCAAAATTTCTTTTCAAAGTTTTGTCATAAACAACATTAGAAAATATTTAAAATTTGAAATTTACAATAAATACAAATAAATATTTCATATTTATGAAATGAAATGAACGAAATTCTGAATTACGATATGAAAAGGAAGAAAATTATTAATATTACAGTGAAGGAATTGGAGTAAACAAATAATAAGTTGTATTTTTACTAAAAATTATATTTTAAACAATGTTTTAAAAATTTTTAGAGTAAATCTTTGAAATAGCCATCATTTATTGTTTAAAATGTAATTTTTCGAGATTCTTCTCCAGTGAGCAGAATAATAAACGGTTGCTTTTAATGCTTATCTGGTCCTAAACAATCATTAAAGTAATAATCCAAATTTGTTATTTTTTAAAAAGATATTCGATTTGCCAATACAAATTTGTATAATATGAATAATTTATTATGAGAGCAGTATATTGTCAATTACAACTATATAAGTTGTGTTAAAAACTTTTGTTTCTGAGAAAAATATTATAGATAAGGATTCAATATAATTTGTAACAATATATAAATTATATAAAATAATTCTCAAAAAATTATAAAAATATTTAATACAAAAACAGCATCGATAAAATGCAGCTTAGAAACTTATGGAATTGATTTGAGCCAAACGGTTTCTGTTCTTTGATCAAAAATACCATTTGAGAGAGAAAAAAATCGAAGTCACAATGCATTATGATCCAATCAGTCCTTTTTTTCGAAAATCATTAAAATCAAAATTATTTTCAAATCTGAAATAACGATAAATGAAATAACTCTTATAATAACTGAAATAACTCTTATTAATAAATGCATTAATTTATTTTTGAGATTTTAAAGTATTTGTAACTATCTATGTACATTTAAAGGTGCACTTATCGATAAAAGTGGTAATACAAATCAAAATGAAAGTTGATCGATAATAATAGTTGGTCGACTATTTGTTAATTAGCGATAACAGCTGATCAATCCTTTGTTTATTAACTGATCATCTTTTTGCCGAAAGTTGTTTTGTCGCAAGCGTGAAAACTCAGAATATACTTCGAATAATGAAAATATAAAACTCTAAACTTTGGTGCCCCGACATCATTCGCTAGTTTTTTCAATTATTATGATTCATATATACTATAATTATTATGATTAAATATAATTATGATTCGTATATGAACAATTATTATGATTTCTCAGTATTAATTATCAAATCTCATCTTGCTTTCTCGATTTTCTGCGTGCTTTCTACAGATTGTCCTTTATCGCGAAATACATCGATGTTTCTATATCTTCCTTTCAATAGATAATCCACTCTGCTGATAATTTTTTTTCTTTTCTTTACACCTTTTCTTTGTTCCCAATATTACTGATCATTGCTTATTTGCTTATTTTTTATTAGGATAATATATATTGTATATTATGTAATTATTATTTTAGTAGATAAGAATATTGTTTTTATTATCATAATAATCTAATATAACCAATTGTCCTGTTATTTTTGCTTAATATTCACATTAGTATTTAATGAATATGTTGATACTTCTCTCTTTCTGATAGTATAATTTTTTACTTTTATATAGGTAGAATACATACTCGTAAAATTTGATGATGATGCAAAAACTGCGAAGCTTAGTTTAAGAGCTATGGAAATATTAAGAATTTTAAATGAGAAAGAAACTGAAGATCCAGAGTAAGTCTAAGTTATATATACTGATATTATAATACTTAATTCAGATAAACATCCGAAAACCGCGACTACTTCTGATTTCGATGAAACTTTATAAAAAGTTTGATTTCAGGTTAAAATGAAAACTCTTAAAGGGATTTTTGGTGACTTCTAGGAAAAAGCCATTATTTTAAATAATAAAATGAATAATAAATGTTTATATTAATGATGAAATCATCAATTTTAATAATCTTAAAGTATATTAAAAAGAAAAAATTACTTAGTTTTCTCCGTTAATCAGATAATTTTACAATGATGAATCTACAATGTACAAAAGATTTGATTCCAACAACTGTCGTCACGTTAAATCTCATATCAAATTAAATAAACAATATTATAATTAACAATATGTATCATTGTAATAATTTGATATCAACAATGGGTATCAAATTAAATTTCATAAATAAAGAATATAATCCAAGTGGTATTATCTTCAATTTTTATGCAATGAAATCTAAGTAATATCTTTGTATTTCTACTGAAGGATTTTCCTATTCCAATCTAAATGGCTTTAATTTTTCATAAAAGAAATTATTATTCAAAGACATTTTCTTTTCCAAATAAAGTAGTAGTTATTTAATTCTCCTTCAAAATGTAATTATATCGCAAAATTTCATTACCTTGCTCAATTCAAGTGTTATCACAAAAAATTAAAGAAGTAAACACTTAGCATTCTAGCTAACACTTAGCTAAATCTCGATATAATAACATATTAGTAAAAATATAAATATAATATATATAATAAGAAAAATAAGAAACATTCCCATGAGAGTAAAAGTATCCAGTGTGTGTATATATGCGATTGAGCTATACAGTCGTAGAAGTTATGAAAGTTATGCAAGCTCTTAATGCAAGTTTAAGATAAATAAATTTGAACTTGTAAGACATGCGTTATGAAACGAAAATTATTAGGTATAATATTTAGATTAAATTCATTATTACTTTGAAATTAAAATTATCTTTCATTATCTATTTTTATGAACTATTATTGTAATTTTTAAATTTAATTGTTTTCATAGTTTTTCTTATTCGATCTAGAAGATCAACTGTTTTAACAAAAAAAACTTTTCTATTTAAATTAAATTTGTTCATCTTATAGTGTCAATTTTTTTTAGTTTTTTTTGTGGTAACACTTGAATTGAGCAAAGTAAAGCAATTTTATGAAAATGTTTTTGAATGAATTGCGATATAATAATTTCCTTTATAAAGAATTAAAGCTATTTAGATTGAAAGTAAACTCTTTCAATATCACAGGAATACAATGATATTGCTTAGCTTTTGTTATATAAAAATTAAAGACAGTATCACTTGAATTATATTCTTTACTTAATTTGGCACCAATTGCTGATACCAAATCTTTTATACGAATGATATATAAAATTTTGTAAAAATGTAATTTGGTGCCAGTTGTTGATATCAAATTTTTTTTCCGAATGATACATAGAATTTTGTGGAATTTAACTTGGCGTTAGTTGTTGATATCAAATCTTTCATACAAGTGATACATATCATTGAAGTTAACCCTTATGTTACCACCCAAAAAATGCCACACTAATGATCACCCGGGGTACCCGGGTACCCATGCAGAAATTTTGAGGTAAAACTGTCGTAAACTTGAAAATAAATTTATGTATTGGATGAATATTGATTTATTAATATTTCATAGAGATATTTCGAGTAAAGTACAATAAATTCGTATACAGTAACCTTTATAATCCTCTGCAGGTATAAGATTTAGGCAGCCGCACTATCTGACCCTTATTTCGACAAGGCCAGGTGTGTTAAATTGAAAAGGTATTTAAAGAATTGAGAGGGGATAGTTGTTTGTACCTGGCGAACTAAGCTAATAGCGTCAGTCTTTCTCGTTTCGGAGCAGTAACACGTATCGCTTAGAGCAGTGAAACGACGCGTAGTATTTTCACAAATATTTTCAAGATCGATTATTGATTCATATACTCTAAAATATAAACATTTTTATTAAAAATATTTATCTATATTTTTTTTACTTTAAAATTAGATTTTGTGTATAAAATAATGGAGGAACTGTCAAGAGCACAATTTCTAAGGTATGTAAAACAATAAGTAAAATAAATATATTTTTGGTATATTTTCATTGATTGCAGGACTGCTTCAAGTATAATTTTTTTAGTTTACATAAATTTATTTATCTGTTTAGATTGAGTGAAGCTGAAAAAAGAGAATACTTGAAAGTATTATTAGGTGATGAAGAAAATGAAAGTTTAGTATCATCTGACAGTGAAGACGACGAATGGCTTCCTGCAGATAATCTTGATCTTGAGGTATCTGATAATGAGCAAGAGAGTGATTACGAGGCTGAGTTTCAGGAAGATGTCGGTAGTGATGAGGAGTCTGTAAATGAAGAAGCTGCAGAAGAAGAAAATGAACGTGAAAGCGAATCTGAAGAAGAAAATGAAGACGAGGCTGCTGCAACATCGCAAAGTAAGAACTATATTTTTATAGCTGCACATATATTTCTATTATATTTATTCATATTTTATTTATACTTGACATTTTTATCTGTTTTAGGCAAATCAAAGGAAAATTTTCTTAGACCAACTTGCAGAAGAGTTAGCCATGCTGATGATTGAAGAGAGAGCTTCAAATCAACAAATTGTACGAAACCCAGCTACAAAATTGGCAGTTGAAAGCTACATTGACCGTCCTACAGTTGCAGCGGAAGTCGTTGCTGACAATCAGCCACGTGATACGACTGGTAGAAAAGTAGTAGTTGGAGCATGCCATATTTGTAACAAACAACCAATTAGGAAACGGCGAAAGACAAAAAAGAGCTGCGTTTCATGCCAAAAGCCAGTTTGCGATGAGCACATAGCAAAAATTACGAAATGTTTGGAATGTAGTGAATAACTTTTGAAATGTAATAAAAACGTTCATTTTCATTTAATTTGTTTAATAAATTATCAAAAATTAATAATATTTTATGTAATTTATTTATTAAAAATTATTGTATTGTATTTCCTCAATTTTTTTAAATCGTAATACGTATATTTCATTATTTTTATATAAGGGGTATCCGGGTACCCGGGTGGTACATACATGTACTTTTTTTCAAATTATAAATTTTTTATGAAGAAAAAAAAAACAAAATTTTTTTAATGCATGATTTGATAGAAAATTAGTCAAATCGTGGGGATCCGAGAGGATTTTAGCGTACGTCTTCAGGAAACAATTTATTTAACATAATGCACGCCGATGGGTACCCGGGTACCCGGGTGGTAACATAAGGGTTAAGTAAACCAAAATGATACATATTGGAAAAAAACTGCTCTATCAAATTAAAAAATAAAACCATTTGATACTTACTATCTTTACTAAGTGATACGTAAAATCCAATTGATATTATATTGTGAAAACGTTATTTAATATTTACCAAGTGATACGTTATATCTTTTTGTATTTTTGCGTTGAAAGTCTTCTTATTCTAACTTTCCAAAAAAAGTAATAGTAAAAAGTTACTATTACTTTTATTTTTTTTCAGAAATATTTTTATTGAAGGTCTTTTTATTTTGATTCAAGTAATAATAGCTTTAATTATCCTTCAAAAATTATTACATAAAAGTTATTATTTGGTGCGTGATTTAATTTTGAGAATTTTTTTTCTCAAAAACTGATTTATTTAAACAAGATAATATTAATGAATGAATATCTTAATCAAATCACATATTTTTCTTTGTTTTACATAACATCTTTTCTCATCTTTCTGGCAAAAGATGGATTTCGCGACGATAAAAAAATTCTTTTTTGAAGTTGATCCAATTTTCAACAAATTTTCGCACATCTTCGAAATTATGAAAGTATCCTCTAGAGCATGTTGCATCGAACTGGAACAAGTGAAAAGAAGATGGAGCAATATCTGGAGAATGCGCGGATTGCAGTAAAACTTCTCATTTCGGCTTTAATAGCGTTCGCTTCATGATAATGCAATATGAGATCGAGCATTGTCGTGAAGAGAGATCACTTTGCGTCGTTTACTCGCAATTAGAGATCGTTTCTGGTCTAATGCTTGTTTCAGTTTGTATAATTGACGTCGATAACGATCAGCGGTGACAGTTTCTTTCGGATTAATAGTTCACACAACATCTTATTAATTGATGGAGCAACATTACCATAAGTTTTTATCAGAATTCTATGACCTTCAATCGCCGTTTTCTTTTGATTAAAAAATGCTCTGTAGGAAGCTCCATTTTTAAAATCGTGTAAACACGATGTTTACTGCGTCTATTGTTAGTAAATGACTAAATACCATGAAGTAATAGTAAAGCACATTAAAATATATGTATAATTCATTTGTTAATACAGAAGGTGGTTAATACAGAAGGATAGGTGATATCAGTAGAAACTTATCTTTAAAAAAGGGTAAACGAAGGCGCTAAGAATATACGTGCTTCTCGAATAAAACATAAATCACATGTTACGTATCTTTTTATTATTCCAATCTAAGCAATAGTAGTTTTAATTCTTTTTTAAAGATATTTTTTATTGAAGATCCTCTTATTCCAACTCAAGTAATGGCAGCTTTAATTTTGTCAAAAATTATTACTCTTTGAAAAAAACTTTTACTAAATTGAAATTAAAATTCAAATGATACAGTCTCATCTAACCAAGATAAATACTAAAAATAAAATCTAAGTGATAGATACTATCTTTGTTACTTAACTTTAATAATGATATGTATCATTAAAAGTAAAATCTAAGTGGTAGATACTATCTTTGTTACTTTAATAATGATATGTATCATTTATGATATGTATGAAATATTTGATGTCAATAACTGACAAGTTAAATTCTACAAAATTTTATGTATTATTAGTATAAATGATTACCTTTTTAAAAAAGATAAAAAAAAGGCGCTAATAGTACAATATATGTCCTCGAATAGAACCTAAGTGATACATTATGTATCTTTTTATTATTCCTACCCAAGTAATAATAATTTTAATTCTTCTTAAAAAATATTCTTTTATTGAAGGTCCTCTTATTCCAATTTTCCTCTTATTCCAGTAACTTTAATTTTCTGTCAAAAATTATTACTCCTCAACAAAATTATTGTGCCAAAGTAAAAATTAAAACCCAAATGATACATTCTTAACTAACAAGTTCTATCAAATTAAAAAGTAAAACCTAAGTAGTAATATCCTGTACTATTTTTGTTATTTACTTAACTTCAATAATATATATCATTTATATAAAAGATTTGATATCAACAAGAGCCAAGTTAAATCCTATCAACTATACCAAATTAAATATGGAATATAATCCAAGTGGTATTATCTTTTTGTACAATGAAATCTAAGTATATAGGGTATACATCTCAGAACAAACGTTTGTCCTTAAAATGATATTCCTGACAATTCTAAGACAATTTTTCCTTTGTCAAAATTTTATCCTTTGCTTTGTTTTTTAATTATAAGAGAAAATAACATGTTTTCCCTATCCTTTTCTTTCTCTTCTTTTCTCCCTTTTCTATCTTGTAGAGATATCTTCATACCGTAGTCGAGCTGGAAAAGAGTAGAATAATTTCATGACCGTGAATTTCAACGAGATTCTCATAAATCCACACCGAATAACAATAAGGATTTTATCTTTCACATTAATTGTATCACGTATCACATTTACGTGAACTTTTGACTTTCACATTAATTATACCACGTTTCACGCACACTTGATTGATTTACAAACGAATCTGAACATATTTGTTTCAGTTCAACTTATTGCATCAGTTCAAACAATGCAGGAATAAAAAACAGACCTAATTGTTAGACTTAAACCTAGTAGCTTGTACAATTTTCGTAACTGTACAACCCAATTGCATATACGTATATATACGTTGGATACTCTCATGGGAATATATATATTTGTAATTTTTCTTATTTTAAATATTACGTTCATGTTTTTAGTACTATGTTATACTATGTATCTAATAGCGCCAAGTATTTACTTTAATTTTTTGTAGTAACACTCGAATGGGCAAAGTAACACAATTTTGTTATTAACGTTTTGAATATTGTTTTGAAGAATTAAATAATTATTACTTTGGTTGGAAGAAAAAATGTCTTCGAATAATATGTGATATGAAAAAGAAGAATTAAAGCCATTTGGATTGGAATAGAAAGGTCCTTCAATAGAATACAAAGATATGCACTTAAGTTTCATTGTATAAAAGTTAAAGATAGTACTACATGGATTATATTCTTTATTTAATTTGGTATGGTTGATATGGGATTTTGCGCCAATTATTGATGTCAAATTTTTTATACGAATGATACATAAAAATTTGTGGAATTTAACTTGGCGCCACTTGTTAATATTAAATCTTTTATATGAATGATACATTTTATTAAAATTAAATAAATAGCAAATATAATACTACTTGAGTTTTACTTTTTAATTTAATAGAATTTGACTTGGTTAATTAATAATGTATCATTTAATTTTTAATTTTGTACAATGATTTTTTTCGAGGATTAATAATTTTTGACAGAAAATTAAAGCTTACTTGGGTTGGAATAAGAGGATCATGAATAAGAATATCTTTTAAGAAGAATTAAAACTATTACTACTTAGGTTGGAGAAATAAAAAGATACTTAAAGTATCACTTAGGTTCTATTCGAGAAGTACATATTGTATGTTACAATCGAATAACATGTAACAGCTGGTATGACATAATTCCTTATAAAAAAATATAAAAAATGTATGGAATAAAATTTTTCGATTTTCTGCTTAGTTTTCGAAAAGAGTTGAGTTTGAAAATCCGTTGCATATGATTTTACGATTAACAATAAGTTATTATTCGTCGAGCGATTAATCACATAATTAATTACATGTTCGAACAATTAAAAAACCAAAATGTTTTACCGAGAGTTCTGGCATCGATAATTAGATGGGCACAGTTAGTATTCGATAACAAGGACAACAGTTCCAGTAATACCATAATTGATGAAATAAAATTTTGTTCACCAAAATTTTTTGTGTTTTTGTTTAAACCTAATAGCTTTTATATTCTGTGTAAACATATTGTTTATAAACATTATATGCATTATACGTCGCTCGACGAACTGTAGCTTAGTCATAATGACATATGCAGCGAATTTTTACACTCGATTTTCTCGAAAACTAAGCAGAAAATCGAAAAATTTTATTCTATATATATTTTTTAATTTTTTCATGAGGAATCATGTCGTGTCTGCTTTTATTTGATCGGATCCTGTATTCTTAACGCTTTTTTTTTATCTTTTTAAAATGGTAATCATTCACGAATGATACATGAAATTTTGTTGGATTTAACTTGACGCCTGTTATTATAATAGAATATCAAATCTTTTATACAAATAGTAATAAAATTTTGTGGAACTTAATTTGATGCCAGTTGTTGACATTAAATCTTTTATATGATACATATCATTAGAGTTAAGTAACAAAGATAGTACCACTTAGGTTTTACTTTTAATATTTATTTTGATCACTATGGATCAAAATGAACATCATCTTTCATGCTAGATTTCAGAACCTTCCTGAGATCGGAAGGACATGTACCTGCCATCGACTGGAGGTTTGAAACTTCAACTATTGATAGAGGTGCTTAGCTTTTTAATTGCATCGTTAATATACGTATGACAGCCATTCGCGCAAAAAGCGTTTTTTCTCGAGTCAAAATATCAGCAAGTGTGACCAACGCGTCGTTTTCATTAAAAAAATTTATGATTTATATTTTTGAATTAAATTGCAAAAGTAAGCAAGATGTAGATTGTGTCCTTCAAATAAGGATTAAAAAAACGATGAAGAAAAAATGTCGTACCTACGATCCATGTGTGATAAACACACTCTCTAAATCTGAATCAGTGGATAATCTACTGAAGTGATATATTTGGTACTGAATTATCAGGATATTATATTAGCATATTTGAC